TTTGACATGGACTGAAAATACCAACAGGTCCCTCATGACGCCCTTGGGGACCAGGGGCCACATCGACCTGGTACAATTAGACTGAATTCGCAACTGGGCACTACTAGATGCCGCCAATCGCAGCCACCTCATACAGAATATTTGCCAGTGATCCATGGGTACCGAGCGCAGCGTTCATTAATTGGTGATTCGCATCGGTGAGCATGAACACATGCACGACTTTGTGGTGGTGGGAGGCCAGGAATGGTTGACATCCTCTGGGCAGGGGGGCATAAACTCGCCTCTTGGATCATTCAGTTGTCGCTGTTGACATCATAGGGTCGTCCGTCAGGTGACCCGCGCAGCCATGCGCAGTGTCTCCGCCTAAGTGGCTTTCCCGATTCGAATCTTCAGCTGAACGCGGCATACCGTACGAAGGATGAAGAGTTATTGCTTCTTGTGAAGCTACAGAAATTCTCCGGGTATCGGTCGCTTGATGACCAGCTCCACACAAAGAAACAAACAGCGGTGCCTCTCCGGAGGCTGGGGCGCTCCGCCTTACCAAATGAACGTGCCTGAGATACATTGGCTGAGCACGAAAGAGTTTGTTCGGTGCGCACTCTGGCTTAACCCACGACCGGTTCAGTCTCCGGCGAACTCACCGGCGGTGCCACAATCTGTGCGGGGAAACGTGGCACTTAGATGCCATGTTTTCCCACGCGGATCTATCACCGCGGGGCCTTACGACAGCGCAATGCACGCGTCAGGATTTCAGCACATCATATCGCGGAGACAGGCAAAGCCCAACCCGGCTATTCTTCCCAAGTCGCAGGTCCTCTCATCATCGTCATCATCAGGAAAATTTAAATATCAAGACAAGGATTTCGCCATCTGCTCCCTACAGCACGTGTTCTCCCACTACCTACAAGCGGCTTGAAGATTTCCTTTCGCATTACAAGTGCGCCCAACCAGCAACATGAAAATCTCCACACCCTCATCAACCTTGTGCAACCAGGTCACAATCTTCGACCAGAATGCACCTCATCAGCTTCCGGCTTCGTTCGTTCCCTCTTCCACCAACACTCACTCGACCGCGGCCAAGAATACTGGCCCATCGCCTGGAGCGACACAAGTGATGCACAACACGTACAGTCTCTGGTTTCCTGTCACTTCAAACACCACGTTTCCATGGACGCATCTTGCACCACGTGCCCCCATTTACACGCCCAAGCGCGCCTCGAGCGTCGCTCTAGCGCCCGTAGTCGTCCATGCTTCCGGCTGCGGGCTTCTTGGCGATGGGCACCGGCTCCGCGAACAGGAAGTCGTCCATGACCGCCACGTCGTACTGGGGGGGCTGGTCGGGCTGGTCCAGTTTCGCGCCTCCAAGGTACACGACGACTTTGGCGATGACGGGCTTCTCCAGGTCGGCGCCCAGGAAGGACAGGCCCTGGGGATACGCGGGCACGTACCACAGGCCGAGGGACGCGTCCTTCTCGTCGAAGAACTCCAAGTACGTCTCCTCGTCGTTGTCCACGTCCACGAAGATGGCGCCGTAGGCGGACACGGTGGCCTTGTCGCCCTTGGCGGGCACAGAGAAGGTGATTTCGAAGGTGTTGTCCATCAGGGGGCTGAAGATCCTCTCCGGACTGAAGGCCTGGAACTGGTTGGGGTGGTCAGCGTTGATGCTGTCGAACAGGTTGTCCGGGTACCCCGGGTCGTCCTCGGGGGGGTTGCTCACGCGGAACTCGTTGCCCTCGGTGGTGAGCGCCATGCCGCGCGTGACGCCGTCGCGGAAGAAGTTGCCGGGCATGTCGAATGGCACCACGTCCGCGTCCCAATTGACCGACCTGCAGACAACGCGCCGCAGCAACGGGCATTTAAGTGACCAACGTGTCCAAAAACTGCGCAAAACACCAGCAGGCACAAACACTGATGTGCATGCAGATGTGCACGAAAAAGGCACAGAAATGCAATCATTCACGCCAGGCCCAACACCGGCCTCCAGAAAGTGTGAGCTCACTCCCGGCGATTTTCCGACCGATTTCCCCTGGCTGCCGGGAAGTTTTGCGGCGCCGCCGTCGTGGCCAGCCTCACCTGAAGCCGGCCTGGATGGGTCCGGGGCTGTTTCCGTTGTCCTCTCCGCCCATCAGCAGCTGGAAGGCCTCGAATGCCGCCGGGACTTCATCGCCGACGGCGTCCAAGACGGTCGGCTTCCCGCTCTGCGCCATGGCGCCGCTGAGTGCCGACGCCAGCACGAGCAGGCACGCGGCGAGGAGCGTTGGGGTCTGCGACGAAAGGCAACGGCGTGGATCAGTTGGGCCGGAGGCTCGGACGGGCGACGGCGAGGGTGAGCCTGCCCGTGAGGGACGGCCGTGGGGCGGATGCACAAGCAGGTTGACAGCGAGAGCCGCGAATGGGGCGGTGATGTTTCTCACCTTCATTCTGCAGACGGGCGTGGTCTCTCCCTTCCTTCAAGGGACGCCCGTCCGGGTGCGGGCTGAGATGCGTCTGGGATCAGACAGTACAGTTGAAAGGGTCATAACCCAGCAGGGACTCAACGACCGTCTGTTCGCGCGGTGGATTGGAATTCACGAGTTGATCGAGGCCCTACGGGCAAAAGACGGCACCCCCGCCCGTGAAGTTCACAGCCGCCGGCAGGCCAACAGCTACGCCTGCAGCAGACGCGAAGTTCGGGCGCCCAGCCAGCGGTCGTCGACAACACCTTCCCGCTCGCGCGTCCAATGTCACCACCCCCCGCCCAGGAGGTACACCGCGGCGCTGTGCCCACGGCCGCATATCAGCTCACTCTGCCAACCGCATACTCAGAATAAGATCGGAGCCGGAAAGGGTCGCAGGGTACCAGATGGCGCCCAGCCCAGGACACCGGGAAAGTCCACGACCACTTGAACGTCGATGCCCCCTCCCGATCGTGGCGATCGGCTCATCCCGCTGGGCTGCCTCGCACCTGGACTCAAAGAGGGGCTGAGTGCCGATGCGCGCAGCTGGGACCCTCGAGGCGACCTGGCCACGTCGCCAACAACTCTCCCCGCGCAAGTGCAGCTGGCCGGTTTGCCGCCAGCCAGAGCAGCCGCCGCGTTTATGTGTCCCTCGCCGCGCCCTCGGCTCGCACAAGTGTGATGGGTGCTTTGCGTATGGTGAGTCACACGTTGAAGGGCGCGGACGGCACCTGCCCGGCGGTGGCCGGGCAGTCGTCACGATTACAGCACGTCAACCTCCATTGGACGAACGGTGCGAGATGCGGTGGGCGCTGCTTTGCGAAGTTCATGCAGCCGCGGACCTTCACATCCGCAGCTGCCCTGTTCGTCAGCATCACGTCATCTCTCACAACAATTCGACAGGTACGCACGGACACAGAAATCCCGTTTCTGGAGGGGCCGGGACCTGATGGCCCATCCACACAGGGGTGCTTCGTTTGTCCCACTACAAGTGTTTGAGATGCATTGCCTGAGCGCCACAAAGTTTTGCCAATGCACGCATCAGGACTGCAGCACAGCAGCTCGCCACAACAGGCAAGCCTAGCCCGGCAATTCCGTTGGAGTGACAGCACAAGCCATCATCATCGCCATCAGGCAATATTAAATATCAAAGCAAGGATGGCGACGACAGCTCCCTGCAACAAGTATCCTTCCACTGCCCTCAAGCGGTTTGAAGGCTTCTCTTTTTCCATTCTAAGTCCACAGTATGGACTTGTATGTTGTGTCACAACATACAACCTGAAGTTACCCAAGGCCCCCTGAATCTCGAGCAAGCTGAACACGTTTTTCAAGGAGAGTACACCTCGTTAGCTAATAGGTCCTCAGTGGGGTCCCCCCTTTGTCCGTTCCCTCTGATGCACGACCCGTTCAGTCCCTTTTTCCTGATGGTTTAACGCCACAGTTTCCCGCACGCAACTGGCATTGCCGGCTCCCGCTTCCACGCCCAGGTGATTTTCGAGCGGCGGTCGGCCCTCTAGCGCCCGTAGTAGCCATCCTTGCGACCGGTGACGGGTTTCTTGGCGATGGCTACCGGTTCGGAAAACAGAAAGTGTTCCGTGACCACCACGTCATACTCGGGCGGCAGGTGGGGCTTTATCAGTGCGTACCTGTCAGATTGTTGTAGGAGATGACGTGATGCTGACGAACAGGGCAGCTGCGGATGTGAAGGTCCGCGGCTGCATGAACTTCGCAATGCAGCGCCCACCGCATCTCGCGCCGTTCGTCCAATGCAGGTAGACGTGCTGCAATCGTGACGACTGCCCGGTCACCGCCCGGCAGGTGCGGTCCGCGCCCTTCAACGTGTGACTCACCATAATCAAAGCACCAATCACACTTATGCGAGCCGAGGGCCTGGCGATGGGCACATAAGGGCGCGGCGGCCGCGCTGGCTGGCAACAAACCGGCCAGCTGCACTTGCGCGGGGAGAGCTGTTGGCGACTTGGCCAGGTCGCCTCGGGGGTCCCAGCTGCACGCATCGGCGCTCAGCCCATCTTCGAGTCCAGGTGCGAGGCAACCCAGCGGGGTGAGCCGATCGGCACGACCGGGAGGGGGCATCGACGTTTAGGTGGTCGTGGACTTTCCCGGTGTTTTGGGCTGGGCGCCAGCCGGCACCCTGCGGCCCTTTCTGGTTCCGATCTTATTCTCTGCGTGCGGTTGGCAAAGAGTGAGCTGGTATGCGACCGTGGGCACAGCGCCGGTGTACCTCTTGAGCGGCGGGGTGGTGACATTGGACGCGCCCAGGAAGGTTTTGTAGACGACCGCTGGCTGGGCTCCCGAGCTTCGCGTCTGCAGCAGGCGTAGCTGTTGGCCTGCCGGTGGCTGTGAACTTCACAGTCGGGGGTGCCGTCTTTTGCCCGTAGGGCCTCGTTCACCTGGAGAAATCCAATCGGCGGCGCGAGCAGACGGTTGTTGAGTCCCTGCTGGGTTATGACCCTTTCGACTGTACTGTCTCATCCCAGACGCATCTCAGCCCGCACCCCGACGAACGTCCCTTGGAGGAACGGAGAGACCACGCCCGTCTGCAGAATGAAGGTGAGCCACATCAGTGTCCCATCCGCGGCTCGCACTCTCAGCCTGCTTGTGCATCCGCCCCACGGCCGTCCCTCACGGGCAGGCTCACCCTCGCCTTCGCCCGTCCGAGCCTCCGGCCCAACTGATCCACGCCGTTGCCTTTCGTCGCAGACCCCAACGCTCCTCGCCGCGTGCCTGCTCGTGCTGGCGTCGGCACTCAGCGGCGCCATGGCGCAGAGCGGGAAGCCGACCGTCTTGGACGCCGTCGGCGATGAAGTCCCGGCGGCATTCGAGGCCTTCCAGCTGCTGATGGGCGGAGAGGACAACGGAAACAGCCCCGGACCCATCCAGGCCGGCTTCAGGTGAGGCTGGCCACGACGGCGGCGCCGCAAAACTTCCCGGCAGCCAGGGGAAATCGGTCGGAAAATCGCTCACACGTTCTGGTGGCCAGTGTTGGGCCTGGCGTGAATGATTGCATTTCTGTGCCTTTTTCATGCACATTTGCCACTGGTAGAAAACAGCATGCTTGCGATGCCATTTTGACACAAATCGATGCCATCACAGTCGCTTTTTATGCCATCGCAATCACTGTGATGGCATCATTTTGTGTCAAAATAGCATCGCACTTGGCATCGCAAACATGCCATTTTCTACCAGTGTGCATGCACATCAGTTTTTGTGCCTGCTGGTGTTTTGCACATTTTTTGGACACGTTAGTCAATTAAATGCCCATTGCTGCCGCGCCTTGTCTGCAGGTCGGTCAACTGGGACGCGGACGTGGTGCCATTCGACATGCCCGGCACTTTCTTCCGCGATGACGTCACGCGCGGCATGGCGCTCACCACCGAGGGCGACGAGTTCCGCGTGAGCAACCCTCCCGAGGACGACCCAGGATACCCGGACAACCTGTTCGACAGCATCAACGCGGACCACCCCAACCAGTTCCAGGCCTTCAGTCCGGAGAGGATCTTCAGCCCCCTGACGGACAACACCTTCGAAATCACCTTCTCTGTGCCCGCCAAGGGCGACAAGGCCACCGTGTCCGCCTACGGCGCCATCTTCGTGGACGTGGACAACGATGAGGAGACGTACTTCGAGTTCTTCGACGAGAAGGACGCGTCCCTCGGCCTGTGGTACGTGCCCGCGTATCCCCAGGGCCTGTCCTTCCTGGGCGTCGACCTGGAGAAGCCCGTCATCGCCAAAGTCGTCGTGTACCTTGGAGGCGCGAAACTGGACCAGCCCGACCAGCCCCCCCAGTACGACGTGGCGGTCATGGACGACTTCCTGTTCGCGGAGCCGGTGCCCATCGCCAAGAAGCCCACAGCTGCAAGCATGGACGACTACGGGCGCTAGAGCGCTCACCTGAGCCTGATGCGCCTGTGCTGTGCCAGCGAATGCGGGCGCGCAATGCTGTGCGCGTGCGGGAAAACGTGGATCAATGGTCATGGCCTCTCCAGGGGGTTAAATAAGCTTCACACTGGAATTGCCAATGGGGTTCATGTCCTTGGCCGCGGTGGAGTGTTGGTAGAGAGGAAACGAATGAAGCTGGACACCGAGGTGCACTTTCATTGAAATCTGTGCTGTTGCTGCCGGGGGCCTTGGGGGCATGCAGGCTTGTCAGATAGGTTGTTGTGGGCTTGCAGAACGGACGAATGAAATCCTGTAAACCACTTGTGGACAGTGGCAGGACAGGTCTTGTGGGGAGCTGACAGGCACTTTCGGTCAGCACATTCTGAACAAGAAATACATGTCGACCGCATACAGAACCAAGGAATGTCACCATTAACCGCCCGCCAGCTTTACGTCCTCTGTCTGACCGTACCCTCACCATACAAGTATTGGAATTTTACAGATGATCCCAGGGAAAGCTGCAAGGTGGCTGCGTCCTTAAGGATAATCCCAAAAAAGCAACATCCAAGCCTTCTTTTCCTCAGATCTGCTGACTGACTAGTTTCCTGCAAATCTGGCCCTCACATTTTGGTGAGCTTTGCGTCAACACTCCGGGCTTTGCCATTACAAATAGCACACTATTGCTCACTTACAAAAGCTGAAGTATTGCTTACGAGCTCTCCATGCCTGTTTTCTTCAATTTCCTCAATACATGCAGCTCTCCATAGTGTTGTTTCGAAAGCCTTTGGGGTTCGCTCTGCAGCTGCAAAGGGTTTGTTGCATGTTTGTTGGTACAGTCGTGCAGCAGTTAAGGGTACCTTGTACCTTCCCCCCCTCTTCCGGCTCCAACCAAAAGAACGCGGCTTACACGACTGGGGTGGCCCGTGTCGCAGCACTTCTTACAATACAAAGTGCACATGACAGTGCACCACCGGCGCTCACAAGCCACTGCCCGCTGCACCCGCCATTCCCAAAGGTGAGCAGCAGTATCCACGCCAAATGCCAATAACCTCCGACAGCAGAAACTCTCTCCCAGCCACGGCGATGGTGCCCAAGGCCAGAAACCTGTGGTCCCCTGCAATAATTAGACCACGGGCCCAAGAACGCCCTTGAGGCCGTGGCAGGCCCCTCTTTGGCAACAAGATGCACATACGCAATGTCTGTAAGCAGGACAGTGCAGCGGCCACCAGGTCAGGCAACAATCAATTGACCACAAGCCACATGGGCAGCGGCTCGCGCCGGCCCCACACAGCCGTGACGCTCAATCATTGCAGAGGCTCGCATCTCCACAGCACAGAAATACACGCTGTCCCAACGCCCCCTGGATGACGCCTGCGCACACAGGCGCGGCCACCGCCAGCCACTTCCCGGTCAAAATAATACCCCACCCCCACGTCCACTCCCTGCCGCCGCCCGCGTATCCGCCATCGCAGCTTATTTATAAACAGGGAATATAGTAACCACAACGAAATGCAACAGCAATCCCACTCTAAGCCCTCCCCCTCCTGCACCCGAACCCACCCCGCCACTCCCACACCCCATCAAAAAGTAGCAAGCCGACGCGGCTAAGGCATGATGACAATAGAAGAAATCAACCATCTTGACGGCGCATACGCCGTAGTCCGGCGCATACGCCGTAGTCCGGCGTTCGCGTCCGATATGCCCTCCCCGAGTCGGGGTCCCCGACCTCCTTTCTGTGTACAGTCAACTCTTACGCTGTAAAACACCTTCCAGAATCCCCCCGGCGTGTGCAGGTTTATTCAATCCCCAAGAAGCGACGTTTCTCCTCTCCCTATTGCAGCCATCCCCTAAAACGGGCCCTACTGTAACTTCATGGTGTACCTACTCAAGCCTGAGAAGTGGCAGCCCACAGGCACGCCGGAATGTCGTGGAATTGCAAGCGCATCACCTGAAGGGGCAAGGCCACACCTGGCACTCTCCATGGACGCAACAAGCCAGGGCAGTCCTCAAACCCAGCCTCCCTGCACATGCCAAGGCACCACTATCGCCCTACCCAAAACACATCGGTTGTTCATAACATTATTCCGACCAAGGCAACAGAAGCCTTGCCATCTACAGGTTCGATGCTTTCCGTTTCGCAACATGGCAGTGCGCCCTGGTTGTCGGCCGTTCCTGCACTCGTCGCAACAATAATGTCGCCTCTCCGTCGGAATGGCAACGGGAGACCCATACCATCAAAGAAAGCGCCTTGCGAGGTGTCCAGCCTGTCAACCTGTCAATCCACGGCTAATCGGATGAACATAAGACCGATCTAGAAGCATCCAAGATCCAAGCCATGGCTCTTCGTCTTCCCCAGGCACACGTCAATCAGCCCACAAGCACACAACCCACCCACCCCACTGACCAGCCAATGCAACGCACACATGCCCCAGGGAAGTATCAAAGGCGTTTGGATCAGTTTGTTTGGTCCACAATCAGACCAGTTGAATTCTCTGATGCATGCATCACTACTGTGGTCCCTTTCACGTACATTTCCGCCCAGTCTGGCAGCCTGGAACCCAGGGAGTGCCTGAAGTACTGTGCATCTGACGGCTTCGCTTGCCCCCCATCCCGCATTCTCACGTTCAATGTCTTTTTAACATAGGACAGGCCACCGCTGGCCCCAAATACTCGGAACACGACCGTGACATCAAGGGCCACCGCAGCACCATCTGGGGTGACCTTTGCAAGGGACTGTGAACCATGTTGGGCGGGGTCCCAAAGGGCCGCCACACGGTGCCAGCAGGATCCGGCGGAGCCCCTGCTGCTTCCACTTCCAGACGAAGACAACGTGACCAGGCGCAGCATCTGGGGCAAGCCGTCCTGCAGCACCAGCACCACGTGGTCCACCGCAGCAAAGGGAAACCCCCCAATGCCGTTCTTGTCCCTCCTGATGTCGATCATGAACAGAAATTTGGAGCCCAGGCTGAGGAGGGTGACGGGATCCATGTTGTTGCCATCTTGGGCGAGGTCTGCCTCCTGAACCTGCGCCAATTATTTGCAAAAGCAGATGTCAGTTAGAACGGCTGGAGGATCATGTGACAGGTGCCCAGTACTAAACGACGATTTGGTGTATCCAACAGAATGGACATATTGGCCGTTTGGCTGACTTGCACGACTGCACAAGCTTCCTGGCCCGCCATAAGACTGTTAAGATGGCCAGCGTTGTGCACAATGAGTGGCAACGACAGCAAGAGCGGCAAATCGACATGCACCGTAGCATTTTTGGGGTTCAGAGGTCTGAGCTCAGCTTGGGGTGCACACTGAATGGCAAAATCTCTGTAGTGTGGTCGTGCACACCAACACCGAATGAAGCTACACACCTTGTGTTTCTTGTGAAGAATGCGTGTCTTGATCGTTGCAGGTCTTTGAGATTCCTTGTCCATAGAACTGGGCAGAACCTCCTCAAAGAACATCGACATCACTATGGGTTCCGCTGCCTTCTCTTTGGCTCGCAGACCAACCTCTTCCACCATCACCGTTTGCAAGTGCTGAACAGTACAGGCAAACGACAGGTTGAAGCTCCAAAAGCCATAAGGCAATGATGCCACTGCACAGCAGCAAAATCAACACAAATCCAACAAGATGCCTTGTTGCTGCAACAGAACAGTGGCCTGACTGTGCGGAAGATGGGACTCAAAACAATGGCAGATGTTTGCCTAGCCTAATCATGAACCACATGAACTGCTGAGCAAACTCCAACTGAGATTCACACCTCTGTGATGTCTGGCATCTCTCTCCCTCCATCACTCCCAGAACACGAGGAGAACTCTTCAAGGGGGACATGGGGAGGACTTGCATCACATCCCCTCAAGATGGTGAAGCTGGGCCCAGTGGCCTTCACCTGCGGCTCAAGCTGCCCATCGGGCACCTGCAGCCAAGTATGCAGTTGCAATGGCTCAGTGCAAAGAGGATTCACTGTCAGTGAACAGCGCTACAGGTCATACAATGGGATAACCCCGTTTGCAACAAACGCTGTGCAAAATATCATGGTCAATAACATTTCTGGGTGCCAGACAGGCAAAAGAACCAAAACACATAGATCGAATCAGTAGAGCAATAGATATAAGCCAAAGTATTAAAAGCACCCAAAAACAACAAGGGCAGAACAGTAGAAATGTTTGCGATAAAAGACCATTTTTGTGGTGGATAGCATCGAGGCACATAAGTGTGTCTGGACAAGCATGTGCCCATACACTTCGACGTGCGAACATTTCACACAGAGGAAGCGACATGAGGCCAGAGATGTCCACCGTGGCAGCATCTGCAACTACAGTCGATCCATGGATTCAAGCACTTATCCTTCACAGACTTCGTAATTTGGGTACACCATGAGGGTAGTTTCACCAAGCTTAACAACAGCAGCAAGGCACACATCAGTGTTCACTAAATGGCCAGCTGGAACTGGAACAGTGGCACTGCATATGTTGGTCACCTTTGAGAGACCACCAGGTTCCGTAGCCCATCCCCACAAGCAATGTCAACTTGCTGCAGGCACAATACAGTGCAACCCCACACCAAAGCAACTGTGCACATACCTTGCAGGCCAGATCTTTCTTCTCAGATCCATGGCTCCTTAACTTCGCACACACAGTCCTGTGGCTGACCAGCCACATCAGATTTGCGACCATGATTGAGGCCACCACGCCAACAAAGACCCCCAGGGAGAAGATGCCCCCAACAGGCATTCCCCAAGAGCAAGATTCGCGCTGCTGTGACAGCCCCTGTGCCATAGTTGTCAAGACACTGGCCACCTCACAAAGCACGTCCGTCTCTAGATTTCACACACCACAGCATCGCCTCAGGTACCTCTTGCTTGCACATGCGCTTCAGCATCTTAAAAGTGATTCACGTACACTGAGGTGATGCTTCAAATGCAGTGCGTTGAGTGGCCAAAAATAGGTGAGGGCTGCGGTTCCATGTACAAGGCAGACACATCATCTTTTATGGAGTTTTTTGTGCATACATCCACACTTTCAACATGCATGCACAAGTCAAAGCGAACGCGATGAGCTTCAACTACCGAGGCCATCCTCCAGCGCTCGCACTGGCAACTGCCAACTGCAGGGATTGTCAGTAAGAGGGCAGGGAGATGCGTTTTAGGCAGTCCTCAAAAATGGGGCCATACCAGGGTGGTCTGCTCACCTCCGGCGTTATGCATGGCCCTCTGGGTCACCGTGCAAAATCCTGGACCTTGCACCACCTGCTCGACATCTCTGACCCTTGCGAGATCTGAGATAAAAATAGCCAAGACCAATTCTGTGCAGGTGGTCTTCTGCAGCAACTGCCGAGGCGCACCCTTGCTCCCTGAAGATGCAAAGCAGGTGCCATCAGTCACTACGGGACAGCCTCGCTGCCTTGGGATGCCCAGCATCCAAGTAGACCAGCACTTACCTGTTGTGCACGGGAGTGAGGACGATATGATCCCAATGTAGCGGGCATCAGGCACTCCCGCAGCCAACAGCAGTGTTGCAAGGCCTTCTCGAATGGCCGTCTGCAAGGGCTTGCTCAAATGCAAGTTCCCCTCTCCTTCGAGCTCCAGAACAACTTCCAGTTCTTCCCTGGCCAAGATCGGGCATCCTGGGCCAAAACTCAAGTCAGTGATCGCAGTCGTAACGACAAAGTAGCGACTAAGCAGCCCCAAACCATGGTCTGTCCTTGTCAAGGGCATTGCCTCTGTCATTGATCCTTTTCATCAGGCTTTCGTGTCAAAGGGCTTCTTCGAATTTTTCAACAGACATGCCGCGCCGAACCGTAGGCCTGGAAGGGAAAAAGGAAGCCGCGGCCGCGCCGAACGACCCAGCACCATGATCCTCCGGCCCATTCACGATCGCCCTTCACAAGTTCACCGCTCGGCCGCACAAATCCCGGCAAACCGCAATTTGCACGACCTCAACCGCAACAACACCGGCGCCGCGCACCCACCCGTTGTGGCGGGGTCGTCACCGAGCTCGTAGTGCTCCTCCTGCGCCCCGCAGCTCCAAGCCGCAGACAGAAGGAAGACCGCCAGCGCTACCGAGCCCGGCGCGGCGCCCATCGTTAGCTACAGGTGCGGCAGCCTCCGCGGGACACCACCCAGCGCCTGGCACACGTAAGACGCAAACATGCTCAGCGCCAAAACTCGCGATCCCCACATCCTCAGCCCGCCGCGGCCCGAAATCCGGCCCTAGCGCCCCAAAATTTTTCCATCGCCTCTCCGCCGCCGAGCCGCGTCGGCGATCGCCGCGAACACCGCTCGGACTTGCGGCTGACGCGCGGCATCGCCTCCGCCCAGCCGAGCCTGCGAGTCTCGCAAGGCCAGCAAGTCTCGCAGCCGCACCCTGGCGCCATCTGGACCCCTCCCCTCCCCCGAACCCCGCCCCCACCCTCCACCAAACACATGTCCGGGAAGGCGCCACGGCCGCCCGTAAGGTGACGGAAAAACGGCCAGGTAGCGATCCGCGCGGCAGGCATGGCGATCCGATGCCCGCCCCCGGGCCCCCTCACCGCTTGGGCCCGGACGTAGGTAGCGCTGCCCGCTGCCGTCCCCGCCGCCCGGCTGCCGCCACAGGCATCCGGGGCACCGCCAGGTGCAGCCGACCCTCGGACTGGGATCGCCCCGCTGCGCACGGGCCACCGTCCCCCAATATGACGCCCGCGCGGGAAGGGATAAGCGCTGACGGGGCCCGCGGGCCCGACGCGGAGCCCCGGCGCCAACCTTGGATCTTCGTGACGAGTACGACTGTCGGCGCCGCCGTACCTGCGGGCGCCCCATCTCAAGACCGGTGCATCCGCTCCCAATGTTCCCGTACCGGGGGCGGGGTGCTGTGAAGTACTGGGACGCAATGGACGCGCTACCCGACATGGGAGGCGTGGCGCTGAGCGCGTTGCCAAAGTACCGGGTTTCCGACGGCCAGGCTCCGCGGCCAACGCTATCTCTGTTGCAACCGGGATGACTCCTCTACCACCGGTCTCGGCGCCGGGCTGGTGGCCGTCGTCGTGGCCGGCCTTCGCGAGCGAAGACGGACATCAAACGCGCCGAACGCGGTGCACGGTGGTGTCCTTGGCGGTGTCATGCTGTCCCGCGGGAAGCCGCATTGGTCGATGAAAGATTGCGCCCCAACTCTGGGCTCGCGTTAACCGGTGTGGTAGGCGGGGCAGGTGGTTGAGGGGTGGCGCGACGGCCGATGATGGGTTGTCCCCGGTGATCCCGGATTCGCAAGGATGCGATGGTGGCACGTGAAATCCACGGAGGTGAGCAAGTCACCAAACGCTTCAGCTCTCAAGAGAGAGCGGCTACGACGGGAGGCGCATGTCATGCCTTGATGCGGACGCTGCTGGTGGGCACCAACGCGTTCGGTGCGGATCCGTCTAAATTTGGGTACCACAAAATGGGCCTTATGAGTCAAATGGCTTCGCACCCAGACAACAAACAACGGGTGCATTAGCCTTGCGCGGCTGTGTTTCACGCAGGCACACAAAAGGCGACATAGCCCTCGGCCACCATTAGTGGTATTCCCTTCTCTGTGTTCCTGATCGGGAACAATCGCCGACAGCAACACGCTAGCCCTACAGAGTGTGCTTGCCCACTTTCGCCGATGCCGGGTCATTCTCGAGGCAGAATCCAGAAACCCAAATCACGCCATAGATTATAAACAAGTTTGCACAAGTACAGGTCTATAAACAAGTGTACAGACGAGTTTCCACAAACAAGTTAGTACACCAGCCGCAAAACACAGCCACTTTTCCCGTCGCTAGTAAAAATCAGTCCAAAATACACGGTTTTGGAAACCGTTTACCTTGTAATAAGATTGAAAATCGTGTAAAGTCGTGTATTTGTCGTGTATTTATCGTATAAAAATGGAACCAGACCGTGTAGCAACGATTGACTGATCTGTCAATCATGTACGCTCATGAGCGTACACGATTTTCGCAGTTTTGACATGGTTTCACGCGACTTTTGCTCGATTCGAAACCGGGAAATTTCACTAGGAAAAAGGGGCCAAATAGGACCTGTTCAAACGTTTGCAAAGTTTACGGGCTTGGGTTATGTTCGTGTTTTTAGCATGCAGAGCACTGACGAAATGCGTATATATGTGTTCGCAAAAAGTGTTGTTTGGTCCTTCTTTGCCTAGTGTTTGGCCGATCTTTTAGCTTGTGCAAGCTCAACTTCAGCCCGGGCTCATCTCGCGAGGCCACCGCCGTTGACTCATTCGCCCAGGCGCCCAACTGGCCGCGCGGCGTCTCGGGGCGCCATGGCGTGGCCCCTCGCCCTGCTGACCGCCGGCAGCTTTGCCTCCTTCACCGCCACGTTTCTGGGCGTCAGGGCCGCCCTGCCGCCCAGACGGTCCATCGAGTTCGTCAACCACGCCGTGTCTGCGGCCCACGCCGTCCTCATGATTGCGCTGGGCGCCGCTCTCCTGGAGAGCCCCTCACGAGCCCTGGCGCTCGTGGGAGGGCCCACGCCGGACGCCGTGGTGAGGGCGGTTGCCTCGAGCTCTACACTGAAACGTGCAACAACGCGTTTGGGAAAAGGCAGTACATCGCTAAGTATTACAGTGCTTTGTTGTGCTGAGCTTCCCTGAGAATAGATTGTGCTTATTTGTCCGGCCGACGCTTCGCCGAAGGGCACGACGTACAGGGGCGCCATGCGTTGCTCCAAGCTGTTGGTAATGGAGCCCGCGGCACAGTTTGGTGGAGGGGTAATGCGCGAAGGGTGTTCTGCCGGCAGGCGTCGGGAGGGCTTAACCACGGGCCATGGTCAGCGACACAGTGAGGAGCAGTTGACATGTTGCTGAATAGCAAGGAAGTTTCGGCTGCCCGCTCGTTGAAGTAGGCGTTTACCGGAATATTTTACCACCAAGGGCGATTTACAGAAGCAGCCATAGTGGGCATTCTATCATTGGGGTCCCGTATAAGGTTATTTGCGACGTAGCTTTCGCATCAGCACCGGATGCCCACTCTCCATTCCATGCATACTGTACACGGCACGCTTGACACATCCGAAGCACCGTGGAAGTACCGTTCAACGTCGGCCGCCAGCAGTAAGGTCTTTTCCCACACGTGCCTTCACCACTGAAGGCGTTCGCTGCGTGTCTTTAGGGAGCCGCTCTGAGCGTCAGCCTGGGATACTTCCTGTACGACTTGCTGTGCTGCCTGTACATCGAGCGCGTGCGGAATGAGCCGGACCTGGCCAACAGCTTCCACCACACGGTCTGCATACTGGGCCTCGTCGTCGGAACCTTCAAGGGCACGGTGAGCCTACCTTGTCGTAATGCAACAATCCCTTCCATCGGCTGCTCTAATGCTCTCTAAATTGCATCGATTTCAATTGGAAGCATCCCGCACCAGCTCATGTCGAGTATTTTAGGTGCACAACATTGACGTAGTATATCTACTGACATGTTTAAATAGTCTACCTGATAGATGCAAGTGTGATCAGTACGTCGAAAAGTACGCACGGTCTCCCTGAAAGCTGTCCAGGGACAAGGGTTCTAAGTACCAGCACGAAATGTGGCAACTCACCGCATTGTTTTGGCTACATGCTGATGTACGTCTGAAAAGAAGCAGCTGCATGTCGCGATAATACGTTTTCCGAACAAAGCACGGGACGTAGAAAACGAACATCAGATACTCATAAATACAAAGCTCGCATACGGATACAGATGCAGATATAAGGATGTAGAAACGCGTGGTCGAGCTGCAGTTTCTGCAAGAATTTTGCTGCCGGGCCCAAAGAATCAGCCCCTTTAGGGCAGCGCCATGATTCTACAATCCTTTCAAAGCGCCACCTGCTGTGCTTCGGCGACCTCCAGAAAGTTGCAGAACAGGATAATATCTTCATCCTTCTGGGTCAATTGCCAGCGCTCCCGGCACCGTCATGCCAAGGCGGTCAATCGCCCTTGTGGATTACAGGTCGCATTCGTCCCGATCAGCAGCTGCGCGCAACAGTGGGAAGCACGCACTGATGTACATTAAGCTTCGGAATTATCAGCAGCATCGTGTAAAGTGGCCTACGAGACCCTGGTATCCGTCCTAATCGAATCCACTTTAGCGTGAAATGAACATTTAGGTGCTGACGTTTCAAAATAGGGCCGCGGCCTCCTCATGACTTTCTTTGCCTATTTAATTACGCCACACAGTAGCCTCTATTAGATGCCGCATTTAATGCATAAGGTGTCACATGGGCTTCACCGCCCAGTGAATCCGTCTCAGTGCTTCTCTCCGGGACTTTAATTCAACACCCGCACTGAATGGAGCTCAACGTGCGCCCAAGAACGCAGCGTACCTTCTGTGGCGAATCTTGAGACCACTCCCACTCAAACTTGAAGATTGTCATGCCCACAGTATTGCACTTAACCCATGTTCATGCATAGCTCACGCGGTACATTGGTCGACTCTCACTCAGATGCGGGACTGATACGCTCCCCAGAGTGGCGTCGAGATTCTGGCGTGCATCGTCATTTCAGAGGTATCCACGCCCTTCCTCCACGCGAGGTTCATCTTGAAGGTATGAGGCTGCAGGCCTCGGACGCCTGTCCGAGAGTCGCCTTTCCACATTTGTCATCAATTAAGGGCGGCTCGACAGCATACGTCTCATTGCGCTATCTGGTAGAACCAATCTGGGATAGCCAGGATGTGTTGAGCAGAGTTGAATCGATAACGAGCCGTGAGCTCGCGAATGGCCGAGTGGCATGTCAGAATGCTGCGTCGGGAACGAAGAAATGGGAAAGTTGGTTTTGCCATCCAGTGCGGTCTTCGGGAGACGCGGCAGCATGAAGTCGTTTCAAGAAATGAGATCGCAGTGACGAAATTCAGCAACTTATTTGACACATTCAACGCACAAGGCAAATGTCCCAGGAAGGCGTCCCGGTCAATTTGTAAATCCTAATTAGGCCTTCCTGCCTCAAAGCATCACTGCGGGTCGATGCTTGCCATACATGACATTTACCGTATTGTGAGTTTCCCTTTAGTGTTATACTGTTTGGCGAACCCCGTGGATCGACCTCAAAGTCGCGTACTTTCTCAAGTTTTCGATGATGCACCTGAATCCTATTCCGGCCTTGGGAAAAGATAAACCAACGGCAGCAAGAATTTGTCAAGCACCACCAGCGACGATGTTGGCCAATGCACGCATTCAAGAGATCTGCACAGAACCTCCATGGCGGGCGCAATTAGCTTTTGGGGAACGACAGTGGATTTCTGAAGACTCCCAAAACATTGCCGTTTGTGTGCGCAGGAGCTTGGGATGAACAACACACCAGTGGGAGTGCTGAGCGAGGTGGGCCCTGGGATCCAAACCTTGCACGCTGCCATTGCAGCACTTGCTGTGCGCATCGACGCGCTGCAACTGGCAGAGTCGACATATGCACTGTGAATCTGTCATTCAAGCTTGGGACCGTTGTTGGAAAATTACAATAGAAACGCTGTCAAGAAGGCAAGATTTGGGCCAAATCCAACGCAACCTACCCCCAGTCGGAAACTGTGTGAAATGGGCTCCATTTTGGCAACGGCAAGGCCACAAATCTGTCCTCTACATGCTGGTCATTGACTGTTCAGCACAGCCTGGATCTGTCCTGCATACCTCTCGTACGCTGTTGCCAACAGAGATTTCAAACTATCAAATGGAAGACAAATGTTGCGGAGAGTGAAAAATTTACATATGTAGCATGGATTTCCGGGTCTCGTCCTTCCGCAATCCTTCCCTTCGGCTGAATGGAATTTCATCCGCATATAGACTTGTAGCAATTATGAATCCAACTTTGACATTATTGAACAAATATCGCAAATACATATGGATGAACGAAATCCACCACATCTATTTAATCTCGGCCCATGCAACGCAAATCTCTTGCAAACAATTGTGTCAATGCCATCTGTGCAGGATTTGCAAATGCAGGTGGCAGCGAAATCACCGTGCGATACCGCCATGCTGTATTTAAGGCGAACGCTGTGTTCCCCCAGATTCTCTTCGCCCTCACATTCCTCACGTTCCGTGTCGTACTTGGTCCCGTCCTCACGTGGGCCACGCTCGCGTCGCCCACAAGCCACCTCGTCGTCAAGGTATCCCAACTGCCCGCGGATCAATCCACGTGTGCGACTGTGGTTGCACATCTCAATCTCGTTGTTCTTGCCGCCATGTGGTATGTTTTGGAAAGTCGAAGTCCCTTTCTGTTTTCGGCGCAACACGTGAAGTTTATAAGCTTCGCTAATTCGTGATTTTCTGTCTGGTGGGAGTTTTGTTCCCGTGGGCCGTGGCGAAAGGATCCTCCAACGTTTCCTTCTGAATTGATGCCATAGCTCACACCAGTAGAAAACAGCCTATTTGCGATGCCAGCCGTGGTGCCAGTTGACACAAATTGATGCCATCACAGCCCCTTTTATGCCATCGCACTCACTGTGACGGCATCAATTTATGTCAGAATGGCACCACAGCTGGCATCGCAAACATGACGTTTTCTGCCAGTGTCACCCCATCCATGCTGATGCATTGCCTTGTCATCTCTGGCCCACGAGCCGCCATGGGTCCCTGGGAACGATGTTCGAGCATCAACAGAAGGCCCGTGGTAAGCGCATACAGAAATTAGACAATTTGCCCTTTTCGCGAGCCCCGCGCACTTTAGGAATGCTGTTGCCACAACAGCTTAACGCAAGACAAACGCAAAGCAGTCTTGCCTCGTTTGGAGAGGTTAGCTTCGGCCAATGGGGCCAATGGGCCCAGGGGGCCATGCTTGGCAGGTATGGATGCTCGCGGGCCACAAAACGCCTGGCCCTTCGATGCAGCAATGTCACGGTTCCCATGGCGTTGCCTCGATAGCGTTTTTCAACAAGATTCCACATCGGCGCAATCAGCGGCGACTGAAACCGGCCAGTCACACCATTTCGCTGTGCTGGCGCATGTCGCACCAACAGCAACCGCTGAACGCTGACTGAGCGTTCACGGCCATTGAATTGACGTTGAAGCCTTGGCCCACGGCACTCTGTGACAAATGCGCAGCATAAGCCGTTTTGCAGTTTGGCGTGGATGGTGCAGTGAAAAGAAGGGTGTTCTTCTCCCTTGTGTGCGCAGCTGAGCGGATTCGGAGTTCAAGCGGTGAGCTTCGTGTGGTTCGCCAAGATTGTCCGCATCGCCATGCACAAGATCAGGGCAGGCACAAACATAACCCCGAGGCACCTGAAGCGCTGATAGAGGGAGGGATGTGTGCGCAGCTCCGATTGAACGCCCTTGGAGCTCAGTGTAGGAAACCTTGTGTTCTCCAGGGAGACGGCTTGTGGAGACATTTGCTGCTGGCGGGGCCAACCGCACTTTCGATAGAACAATTGAGTTACAATGGCAATAAGTTGAATAGGCGCTGGGCCATACGGACCAACCTGTGGTTGGCCCGCACCCGTTGCAGATTCTGTTGTCCAACTCGGGGTGGGTGGATTTGTGAGTCCACAGATTTAGGGAAAGAGCAAGGATGTCGCAGGTGGTATATGGAATGGCACACGTGCAGGATGCTGTCACTGTCAAACTTCGAGGAGGGGACGGGGGGGCAAGTGCCAAGACGGCGCTGTCTGGACGTCGCCGTCCGTGCCGAACAACAATCACGAGAAGCGCAGTTGAGCAGCTGAAATATCCAGTTGGAGAATGGAGCGTACTGGGAAATTCAGATAATCCGGCCTGCGACCAGGTGGATGCGCGCCGCAGCCGTACTAAATTCTTCCTTGGCAGCCACCCGTTGCACGTTGCCATCGCCCTTATCCACCTGCAGCATACAATGCCAGACACACTTGCATGTGCAAGGATGCGTGCATTGTCCATGGTGAAGCAGTGAAATGAGGGATCGCCTGCACCAGCGCCGAAGAGCCTCACAAAGGAGTGATGGCTACAACGCGACTTTCAGGAATAGCAGCCCCACAGCCAATGAAGATTCGACAAGGGTGATCTTGAAGCACTGCACATGCACTCCATGAAATACACGGCACCAGTGATTAGAACGCATCCGCTGCAGCTCAGTGCCGCTGAGAGTTCCACACAATTAGACAGAGTTAGAGAAACCGCAAAAGTTGCATTACACGGCACGTTGTGAAACAAAAGATGAAGCTGTGCCATCGGCTCTTGTGTGTTGCATCGTCCACCATGCTGCCGCACCCTTAGTAAGAACGTCATTTTGCCAACAGCTCGATCAGGCGACAACTCAACCAGGCCTGCAATGCGCAGACACCGCAGCAATGTCAATTCAGCAGACGTCCAATCACGCCCCACTCAAAAACCAGCTGGAACCCGCATCTTCCAACCTGGCCCAGCTTGCGGGGCAAAGACACGAATCCAAATGACCACAATAAAGAATAAGATATCCCACCCAGCACTCCCCTGCATGGCAAAGCGCCCCAAACTCCATGCACCCTCAAGTGAAGACGTCCCGAATAAACCGTGCAGCAATCCTAGACGTCAATCTTTGCGCAATCTCAGGAAGGACTTCCTCCGCGATGCCCGGCAGCACGGGGCCCAGGCTCTGCAGGAGCTGAGGCGAGCCGCCTCTGAACACGCGCTCGGCGTCGCCCCCAAGCAGGAAGTCCATGATCTTCTTGATGTTGGCGATGACCTGCAGGTCTTCTTCTGAGACCTCGGGCGCCAAGGGCACCAGTGGCCTGGCGGCGAACGGCACAGGCACCGGGAGCATGACGTTCTGGAGGCCCAAGGACAACACCTGATGGCACCAGAATCGTCTCAGGGGAGCGGGGTGGGGTGGGGTGGGGTGTGTGTGGAAGGCGCCAGGAGAACGAGTGGCACAGACTGATCAGCTCTGCAGCTTGGCGCAGGGGGAGCGTTAAGCCTCGACAGCAGAGGCCAATACGTGACACAGTTCCCCTGGTTGGCGTTTACTGCATCGGCAAAGTGATGCCTTGGGGCATTCCAGGTGGAAACAGGCAACTTGGCACAGTGCTCACCAAAGTCTTCAGCTGGTTGCGAGACATGGCGTCTATGCTCTTGACAAGCTCGTCCATGAGGAACTCCCGAAACAGTGACCCCTCGGGGGCAAACAGGAACCGCAGAGCCTCGCGGACGTTGGCATCGCTTCCACCTATACCCACTGCACTTGCTGGTAGCGCTGTGCTGGCAGACCCTGCGATTTGAAGTGAATGTCACCACAGGCGTTGGTCTTTTACAACAAGAAGACAAGCCATGCCTGGTGCACCCTCTCCCAAGATCCATTGTGAAGACTCTCTTGTCATGATGATGGCAAAAGTGCTGATTATCTGTGGACAGACTAAACAGCGCAGGCCCTATCGCTGCTGTCAATGAACACACTTAGTGGAAAATGGCCGACACCAACAAAAGCAGGGAGCTCCCAGTCTAACCTGAACAGGCTGTTCAAACCAGCAGACACTCCCATGTGCAGCTATATAAGCAGCAGCACTTGCTCGTGTTCTGACCATGTCTACAGGATATTTGGCGACCAGCCAATAGTATGACAAGGCGTCCTAGCACCGTCTCAAAACACCAATTGAATCAAAGTTGCAATCTATTGTCCTGAATAGATCACACACAAACACACACCTGTCATGGAGGCATCAAGGGAATTTTCTGAGCCATCCACAAATCCTGCAGGAGCAGGGAATGGGACTGGCCAGGGAGCAGGAAAACCAGCAGATCCTGGTGCAGGCCAGCCGCTGCCACTACGTCCAGATGTGGAAGGTTCTGGAACAGTGGAAGTACTGCTCCGCGGTGCATTGGAAAGCGCGCCCACAGGCAAGCTCGAGCTGTCATCAAGGTCACCTCTAGCAGAGATTGAGGCCAATTTGAAGTCTTCAAAGGCGGCCAGCACGTCAATGAGCCGCTCAGCATCAAACACCCCATTCTTGCCATAGATCATGTATCTGTTGCACATGATTGGGAATATTGTCAAATCAGCAGATTGTGGGAATCCACAGGCTGGCAACAGAAAAGGTTTTCTACTGTCTGAAATGGTTCCATTGTTGAGGAATATCTTTGACAAGGAACATTTTTGCTCATTCACTGCAACAGAGGCCATGGCAAGCAAAGCAACTGCATATACAGAAAGCCTTCAAAGATGACACTGCTGATGAAGGGGACACTGGATGAGGCTTCATAGAGCAGATGCTTCTACACAAGACAAACAACACCAACACGAGTCCAATGTAATCACCAACTATTGAATCCTTTGCTTCCAGCTGATACTGGCCAACACACTGCGACGAAATGCTTGATATCCACATTTCAATGCTGACATACTGACTTTGGGCTGTTGGAATTATATTCAAATGTTCAGCAAATCCAGGTTGTCTCAGCTTGCACCTGAGTGCTGCCCTCAGCCTCTCTGAGTCATCAGTCAGAAGGCGTTTGGCTATGTAGGGGAATGCCTCATCGACAAGTGCAAAATCCGAATTGCCCACAAGAGCAATCCCCTCCAGAACACCGATCGCCCTGATGATCAGTGCAAAATAGGGAGGAATCCGAAACGGGTAGTCGAACGTGATCTGGGCCAGGTCAGCTGCAAGCTCCTGGAAGTTGATGTTCTTCGCACCACCCCCCTCAAGAGCTTGGTCAAACACCTGTGGAAAGGCAGAAGGTGAGACCATCCTGTCTGCATAGTTCATGGCATCACAGCAGTGGCAAAATTGCCAAGGAGATGTTTAGGAGACAAGAAGTGGCACACAAAGCAACAAAGCGATAAGTTACTTGACCTCTTGCAAGCAGGGCAGCAATGTGAGCACAAAAAGGAGCTGCAGCTGATGCTATGGTCATCCACATTCCAACCATTCCACAAACAAGCTGATAGGAGATACTTGTATACATTTTGAACCCATGTGATTCCTTGGGCTCCCTCTCATGAGCAAACATGCTTAAAAAGAGTCTCGCATAATATATGAGCAAAAGACAACATCAAACATTCGTTCTCTGAATGATTAACCGATTCTGATTGTAATGCACGTTAGCGCAGTGTGTCCCAACCAAGCAGTGCAGACTCCACAACAGAGAAACAACCAGAAAGAACGAACTGCAAACCACTGCAGCACAACTTGAATGTGCACTTTGTTTCACTGGAGAGTTCAACATACAGAAATATTGACAGTGACAGGAATATTCCAGACATCAGGAATACAGTCTCAGTGCTGCTGTAGGAATAAGGCTCCAGAAAGTCCAAACTTGGCAGATGTGGCATGGATGAGAACTTAATAGGTACGTATCCAAGGCAAGAAATCCCATTATTCTTGGTGTGTCTCACTACACTGTGTACATGCAGTACTCTGCAGTACGTTGCTCCGTACTAACATGTGTCCAGTCTCTGAAGCTCACCTTGGCAAGAACTGGCAATATGGGCTTGAGGTCAGTCCCTGGGGGAATGAAATCCAATGTGACAAAATCCTCAACAATGGCTTCGTAATCTCGGTGGATGAGATGTGATATGGCCTCGATCATCCCATACTACAGGCACAAACCAGACAAGAACACTGTTAAGTGTGCTTGGTGGGTACATTGATTCCATGCCTAGATGTGCACTGGTGCAGACAGCAAGGCATGGATCTGTGTGCAGTGAACAAGCAGAAAATGTCAGCACTGTTGTTGAGTGTGAGCATGTGCTGGGGGTCACAGTGATGCCAGTTAATGCGCAGGCAGCAACACAATATTGGCGACACAGGAATACAATCAGAAGCAACACTGGAATCACGAAGGGCAGTGCTTTGTCAACTGCTAAACACAGCGCAGTGCATTTCTCCATGCCCAATCAATCTATACATGAATGACTGTCAAACAACAGGTGTCCCTCACAGCAATCCCTGTTTCAAAAAACACACATGTCCACATATGTGCAGTATCTGGCTCCAGGAGACAAGTGGGTGAAGTTTCTTCATCGCACAGGAGACAAGCAGTTCAGAAAGCAATTTCTGCCGCAGTAAGCTCCACAGGTGGTGTTTCTTTGACAATCCCTCAAGTATTGCAAAGCAATCCACATATGCAGCATCCGTCCATTGTCACTTACCTTTATGTTGTCGCCAACCTCTGTCATCAAGCCAAAGTCAAGAATTGCCAACCGTCCATCTGGAGTGCGAATCAGATTGCCTGAATGGAGCACATTACCCACACACATGCTTGTCGCTGACAGTGGCAGTGAAACAACAACCATTGCATCACTGGCGTGCAGAATATGGCACAATGGCAACCTGTTGTCACGTCATTCTTCTGCTGCTGGTGGTTGTCCCCATTCTTGCAGCGAATATTGCAAGGGCAAACGATGCAGAGGCAGTTGAAATAAAAAACCAAGACTCCAGCGCAGAACTGGCTGTGTTTCCCCACTGCAGGTCATAAGCAGACTCTGGGGAGTACAGGAGATGCGCACAGGATGGAGAAGTTCACAGGAGGAATTTGAGTACTTCCCTTGTGACCATTCGGGACACTTCAGCAGCAGTGTACAAACGGTCTGCTGATTTTGACCCCATGATATAAAGGAAAGAACGATGCATGTCTAGGAATGGCTGGCCCTCAACCACTGCCAGGGCAAAAATGACCATCGTCACCTTGCCGGTGCAAGGGTGGTACTTTGCCTTTTGCGCAAACAAGATCAAAGTGGCTCTTCCCACAGGTCACAAGGGCTTGCATCGATTTATGGCACACACCTGGATGTGGGTCTGCATGGAACACGCCAGTATCAAGCAGCTGCTTCAAATAGCAGATGACCCCGACATTGACCAGAGCACCAACATCGTCCGCCTGACTCTGGGACAGTTTTTCGCCCTCCAGCCATTCTGTGGTCAAGACACGCCTGGATGTGAAGTCCGTGTACGTCTTGGGGATCACCACCTGCATCCATGTCATTTCGTCAGTTAAAGGGCTGTGCAGACACAGGTACCACCATCCATTAGGGTTTGACAAGGAACATCGCCCTGCCATGTTCCATGACAAATGCAATGTGTGTGTTTTGAGCAATGTTGTTGTTCTGCCAGACAGCACAGAGCTCTCAACATAATGATGGCAATAGTGCTGATGTGTGATCTGGCTTTAGCCTGCCCCCTCCCCTTTCTGTGGCAAAATTCTTGATGCTACAGCCCGTTGCATTCTGTCGCAGCGACATCACTATTAGACCTAAAATACTAGGCCACACTGCATGCAGTGGTTAAAATGCTGAATGTCATTATGGGGAGGGGTTGCAAACCTGACTTTATTGTGCACTCAACAGTTTAGAACAAAAGGACACATTTTGCAAGATCGCAGCTGTCTTGGTAAATTGCACAAATGCTGCAGAACACCTCGATGTCCGACAAACACATGCAGCTCGCAATCAAGAAACAAAGTAAAATGGCAGCTTTGCTGTGAGCCAAACTTTAGTGCCAGATAACAGCCATGCTGAAGTGCAGTAACTCCCATTTCACAATGCAAAGAGGTGGAAGCTTAGTGTGCCATGGGCGCACATATATTGGACTTTAGCCCCCCAAAAGACGTTCTGGATATCACATTTAAAAATCTTGCCTGCGCCTTGTGCCAATCATCGCTGCAAGGAGCACAAGGGCAAGGACTAATCGCTGTTTAACAAATCCAGAGCACCACCAAAATTCAAGAAGCATTAGTCAAAATAGCCGTCACACTGGACTAACCCTGCTATCCTTCCACTGGCGCCTCTTGACCCTATCTGGGCGCACCTGTGGCAAGTCCACTTTCATACTCTCAGCAAACTTGTTCCCGCTGTTTCCCTCCTTGACATAGTCCAGCTCGTCGAAAAAACGGGCAGCCCACTCATCCAACAATGCCACAACATCTGTTGTGATCTGTTCGAACCGCTTCAAGAACATGCCAATTCTCCGGATGATGTACAAGTCGATCGTCACAGTCTCCAAGACATAGGGGCGTTGGACCTTCACTGCCACTGTTTCACCTGTCTTCAGCTTTCCTTTATACACCTGGTGCAACAGAAAGCACTGTGGCCAGCACTCCACTGCAATAATGGCCAATACATGCAATCCGCACAATACACACACACAGCACATTCTCCCTGCGAGCTCCTGCACGTCTGATGAAGGGAAGACAACTGATGCACTTGTTAAAATCACAGGCCAATGGCAGGAGTGCCAACAAGTCTGCAACGCACAGCCACTACCAGCTCAAGACTCAGGTACAGCATAGTTGTACTGGGCATCCTTGGACTTCATGTGCTGAGAAGTAGCAAACAACACTGCCCCTGCAAGGCGATGTTTGCCATACGCTTGGATAACGAGTGTCCAGATTCTGAATTCTGTATGATGAAAGACCACAATTCAAAACAAGAGGGAAGACTCACACCTGTCCTAGGGAAGCAGCAGCGATGGGCTCTGGGGTAAGATCGTCATATATCTCCGACACTGGTCTGCCAAGCTCCTCCTCAATGACCTTCATTGCTACATCTGACGGAAAACTGGGCACCTTGTCACACAGCCTCTGTAGCTCAGTCATGGCAGCGGGCGACAAAATGTCGGGGCGAATGGACAGTGCCTGGCCCAGCTTGATGTAGGCTGGCCCCAGCGACGTCACGATGTTACGGAGTTCGATCGCATGTTTGACCTCGTTCTCCTTCAGACGACCTCGCAGGAAGTCGAAGATGATAGAACTCAAGAAGCCGCTGCTGATGGCTGCACCGGCAGAAAGTGCTTATTAGTAGCATGAATCCTTTCCTTCAACCTCCTCACACGTCAAGAGCACACCGTTTGCACCTGCAAGGAGATGGTGGGTATAGAGCAATGCGATCTTCATGGAAGGCAACTTCCAAGTTGCCTTTGATTTATCGTTAGATACTGTGCTGCAGGGTGCACAGCTGGAGTTGATGAAAGGCAGAATACATGTTCAAGATCTGGATGGCCGTTGACACCTGCAATCCACTTTGGCAGCAAGTGGTCATGAAAGTTGGACAAAAACGCAAGTGGCTATGATGCCATTGTGCAAGGAAATGAGCCACAAGATGCGTTGCCACATCTCTGGTTTGACGGGAGCAGGCTCTGGTATTCTATTTGATATTCTGCACATTTCGACAACTGCATTGAAAAGGTTCAACTTTGCAGAGACAAAATTGGTAAAAACAAGCACTGGAGGCTGCACCTCACAAGTATCCATATCTGATAGCCACTCTGGACATACTAGAGGCAGAAGCAGTCAGCTGATTTCAGAAGAACAGTGAGCCCCACATCTCAGAAGCATTTGCATTTGGGCTTCAAAAGGCACTTGGCAGTGTCACTTACAAAGGAGCTGGAGGATTCGTGTTGAGACGGCCACCGGCCTTGCACCCCAGAACTTGGCAATCAGATCGGGGTCGTAAGTTTGTGGAAGGCTGTCCTCAGAATCGGGATCGACCATTATCAACTTCATGCGGACGTTTTCAGCTGCAAAGTCGTCATTGTTCATGTTCGAACCACGAAGGCCAGACATCATCGACTTGACCATCTCGTCCTCTTCAATTTGACTCCTCATTTCCTTTATCTGGCTGGACATGTCACTGACACTCATCTGAATAGAAAGGAAAAGTGAGGTCAGTTCCACAACTGATAGAGCAAATCGGTTCACAATGACGTGGGGACACATTGTGGCTCTTTCAAGGGTGTGAAACATGCATTTGGACCATAATGGTTGTACAGCTTCCTGTGCAATTGCGGTTCGAACACAAAGGAGCCACATACCAGTGCAAAAGTACAATGGCAGCACTTCTCATCCACCACAATTGATGGGTTTGGTGGGCTGCGCAGTTCACTCAAGCTATGCGTGTCTACGGTACATAGTTGGCTGCGTGCTGCATGTGATGCATGGAAGAGGTGGGCACACAGACAGAATGATCACCATCAAGCAGCTATCATGTTGGTGCTCCTCAATCGGGCTCTTCAGATCGACCACAGCATTGGTGTTTGGTGCCCAATTCATCCTACAAACGTTTGGCATGGGATCTGTTAGCATCAAGGTGTAATTGCCCCTGATCCTATGTTGCATGTCTGTGATCAGGCTTTCCATGTGGAGGTTGCTGTACAGCCATCCACAAACAGCACCTTTTCTGCCACAGTTCGGAATCAGGAAAGCAGACATTTATTGTGGCAACTTGAAACAGTTTGGTAGCAGCTGAATGCCACAACGATAGTGCCATTTGCCAGCACCAACATTGTTTTGCAGCGTCTATTGTGCAGTCTGCAGCACATGTGCGGCACAACTTCGCTCTATTGGCCTACTAGATTGCAAATATTTAACCTGTTAACAAGACCATCAATCCCAAGCCGGGGGGCTGATTGTCTGCCCACTAGCCGCAACAGGCCGTTTCCTGAAGTTCAGCAGCTGTTGCAAGCATGGTGCTGGGGCCTCCAGGCAAACAGTTGTGCACCTTGCTAGCAGGAGAACTGGTTTCCTCAAGTCTCTATCATGTGTGCATCTCATTGCTTAGTTTGTCCCTTTCTCTGGTGGCTGTTGGTTGACGAGGGGTGAGGTGCACAATATTGGACGAACCAATTGTGGCCGGCAGCAGAGTCCCACTTTCTGCTCACAGATACACGGGCTTGCTTCTTGCCACTTTTCAGATACCCAATCCGAAAGTCCATTCACCAACAGATTCTCAGAATTGCCCCAAGTGGAACACCCCAACATCCGCCAACAGCCACCAGATCAAGTGCAACACTGGGCGATTTTGCATCGACCGAATTTCGCCTTTGCTTGACAAACGGGTTGGGGAACAAGACCACTCCGCCGTTGTCCACGGGGGGCAGCTGCCAGACATATTCCGGCGCAACGCGAGACAGCAAACACAGGCGCACCCTGGCCGCATCCGCCACGTGCGACGCCTTCTGTCCCCGTGCCGCAGCAATGGAACGAGGGTGAGACGAGCAGGGCACCCGCACCCGCGGACGCCCTTTCAACGGCAGCACGCCCCCGAGGGGCAGCTCCGACACCCCTGCACAAAAATTTAACGCGCCAGATTTCAGCGCACATCCGGCGGCTGGGTTGCCCGCAAGTCCACCCAACCCGCCCGTGAGCTCCTGGCATTGGGCAGAGTCCGCCAATGGGCAATGCCCGGATCGAGGAGTCGGCGCCCATGTCCGCCGTCGCCCGCGGCGGGTCGGGATTGCGCAGCGCCGATTGCGGAAGCGGACAGCCCAGGGCGACGGACCCTATCCACGGCCCTCGCGGCGGTGCCATTCCCCGGCAGCACCCCGACCCTCCGCCGCGCGTCCAAATCCAAACAACCGCGCCACACGCAAAACAGCCGCAGGCTGCTCCCCCCTTCCCCGGCAACATCTTCCGCGGCGTGCCAGGCTCCGGTTCCGATCGCCCCCGCCCGCCGCGACCCTGCAAGAGGACCAACACCGCCATCTGGCAAGCCAGCGCCCAACTTCGCGCGGATCCCGGCCCTACCCGCGGCGGCCATGATCCTCTGTTCGACTCCCTTTCGCATTCACCGGCACGGCCGCGTCTGAGCGCAGCCCTCCAGCGTCCTCCAGACACTCGGCGCCGCCCCTCAACCGAACCGCGAGGCGCCAAACGGGAGAAGGCTGGGGCCACGGGCTGCGTGGGAGCGCGTGGGGCGGGTGGCCAAAACACCTGCGGCCCATGATCTCCCGTGGACCGGAACACGTGGCCAGGGCTGACCCCGGCGCCCGGGCGAATAGTGGGCAGGAGCGATCCATGGACAGATATTTTTGTGCGGTCCTTCAGGCCCCCATTGGCCGCCGGGGATCCTGCAGCGGGGATTCTGGGGGCGCCGAGTGGGGGGCCTTTTGCGCGCCTTTGCTACCAACGGAGCTGCGGTGGTCTCGCGGCCGGTGTGGGATTGTGCGTGACCGTGTGGGTTGAGTGTTGGGTGGAAGGGTACTTCAGGGTTTGGACCATTACCATCTTGCTTGCCATTGGCCAGATGGTCTGGTAGAGAAGTTGGACATCCCACCCGGTTCGATCACCGGTCAGGCTTCCTCTTTGCTATCAGCGCTAAAACAGTGAGCTTCGCCACGTGGCAGGCGATCTTACCGTGTGCATGTGAGCAATCCTCATCATCATTAGGAGTGCTTGCATATCGAGGCAAGGACGCAGCCATCACCTCCCCATTTCGCCCGAGACAGGCAGTGTCCATGACTTGTGTCATGTGAACCTACTTTCATGTGAGGAATCAACTAGGCCTGGCGATTTCCAATTTCTCAGAATCTACCCCTTTCTCAAATTTCTGTGGCCACGTCGTGGTCGATTGATCAAAGTTGGGAGCTGCAGGGAGAGCACGGGGAGCGCGGATCAGCCTGCACCGACTGGCAGTTGCCAGCGTCCATGCGGGCGCCCCGGAGTGCTGCAAACGGGCGCTGTGCGCAGAGGTGGGTACCTCGGCACTGGGGAATTTCGGCCAGAAGAGAACGGCCTCCCACTGGACGATGTCTTTGCACCAATACAATGTTGAAAATCGGGGCCCTATGGCAAGCTGCAGTTTCATTGCACGGCTGCTGCACGGTTGACAGAACCCACTTCCTCCGCACGTCACGATCGGCACTTGCTGCGCCCGAGCATTTCGATGGACTCTGATTGAATCTGCAGCGACGCTTTCCTGCCTGATTGGACCACTTTTGCGGTTACGAAGAGCAGATGCTGGGGATCCGAATCTACGAAATGAGGCGACTGTTGGCGCCCTGCCGGCACGAGTGAACTCGATTGTTTGCCTGCTGGCCGGACATGCGAACAGCAACCTCGCATCAGCAGTGCACATCCTCCAGGAATGAGCGAGAGAAGCAATGACAAGGGGGAATACAAAAGCCTGCGGAACACCTGCCGGCAACTTCCCGATTCCCCAGGTGGCTCAACACAAACACGTGTGCGAGAGAGGTTGGCCGCATCACACACTAGTAAAGAACAGGCCAAAATACGCGGTTTGGGAAATCGTGCACGGTGTAACACGACTGAAATCATGTAAAAATAGTGATAAATAGTGTATTTATCACATAAAAAGGGGGCCAAACCGTGCAGAAACGAATGGGTGAGTGAACATGATTTTACATGCTTTGGCGCTGTTTTAAATTATTTCTACACGGCTCGAAACAGCGTATTCTGGCCGATTTTTCACTTCCGGCAGGGGCATAGGGACCGTGTGAGAGATTTTTGTTCCGATGGCGCCACTTGGTTGCGAGTCGTGGATAACTTTTGCAGGGAATCTAGACTCTAGTCCGCTCGAGCCTCATACCCCAGGGGGGAGCTCCAAAAAATGTGGCAGAACGTGTTAAGCATGAGTAAAATATGTAAAAGAATGTGTTGCAAATGTGTCGATAGCGCACCGAACGCATGATTGAGAATGCCTGCAGGATGTGTAGCGCATGTGTTACCACATGTGAGAACGTTCTCATCAAATCAACATCTCATATCTCGTGTTCGTATTTATGTTCTGTTTGTTGAGCTTGTGCTATGGAAGTGCTGCGTTTTGCTTAACTATTGTTGGTGACCGTAGGGTCCATTTGAGCTGTATAAAACTGGGTGTTGACACATTATAAGGTGGAGCATTGCGTTCCAACACATTCCTGGTCGCAACAGGTTTTCCTAAACGCTCTATTTGACGTTTTTTCAGTGCATGTCGTAAATGGGGGTTTCTAGATTGCATCCTGCTAGCCGCTAATCTCGAGGAGTGTCTGTTTTGCAACATTACCAGTAGGAATAAAAGGGCCAAGTAACAATTGTCCAAACGTGTACAAAGTTCACGGGTTTGGTTTGTTTTCGTGTTTCTAGCGTGCAGAATACTGACGAAATGCATACATATGTGTTCCAAATAAGTGCTATTTGGTGCTTTTGTTGGCTAATGCACAAGGCCGCTGCTTTGGAATTTGAAACCAGCGAACAAATGGACGCGATAAGTCAGTTGCTTGCTGTTACGTATCCATGCAAGAAAATACAGAATACCCGGAATCTATCCGCTTGCTTTTTGTGTGCGCATCTTGCCTGCTGATCTCCTGTTTTAGGCCATTTCATTGATTACACAGGTGGCTGGTGCAGAAAGGTCCAGGCTGAAGATTTGCAAGTGACTGGAATCAGGTGCTCTGAAAATCCACGACATATTTCAAGGGAATGGGCCGCGCAGCAGAGAACCCAGGATGGTGAGATGCAGCCGCTAGAACTGAAGCTGCCCTCATGAAATGGGTCTCTGGGCGCGCAGTTTGTGTGATGCAATTGGTTATGATTGAAGTATAAAACATGTTTATAACAATTTTTGAAAATTCCAAGGGCTCCGTGAGGTGTTTCTCCAAACAATGCTGCAGTGCCCTCGACGATGGCACTAATATCGCAGTTCCCTTGCGGTATTTTCCTGATTAATATCTGGTAATAATTTCAGGAATTTATGCTAATATTCCTTGTATGATGGGTCTGCAAGTGGCATAATAACAGTGATAAATGTAGGGCAAAACTTTCAGGCTGTCAGCATGGCTGAAGTACGGGCAGAACTGACCGTAAGGCATACAGGCTTCCAGTGCAGGGCATAGAAGCACACAATAAATTGGGTAACAAATTTTCCGTGATATTTTTTCCTTAGATCCAGAATCAAGTTATAAATTGAACAAAAAAACATTCAGCTTCAAAAATCCACCAAAACTTACTAGTGAACCGAACTGTGACTTGAGACGACATTTTCCTTAAGTTGCTTCATAAAGCAATATTTGAAATATGTACATATTGCAAATATTGACATATAGATGTGGCATTCGAGTCATGTGAGAGCTCATATGTCATTTGAGCATCAATATAAACTTTCTTAAGGTGATCCTATAGGATCAAACAGGCTATTCGCATGTAGAATGCAGTACCATGATCTCAAAATACACCCAACATACTATAATCGTTTCTTTTGTCTTCGTAAGAAATTTGGATGCAGCCAACTCCAATCGTAATGACATTTATAGGAAATTCTATGATGTCATTAATACACCTGGCCGGTTTCAGTGTGAAACAGTGGCTCCAAATATTTGCATTGGAATTTGCGTTTTAAGCAAATGCCATAAAATTTCACGGTCAAAGATGTACTTTTCCGGCAAACAAGCAGAACGACAACTTCATTGAGTGGTATTGTTTCAGACGAGGATTCCGCCGTCTTATTGCCGGTTACAGATGACAGTAAAGGGAAAGGATGTGGCGGGAGAGTCGACGGGATATGGATGCCGTCGGGTATACGAGTGAGTAGCTAAATCCTGTGTCGTTGATTCTGGAAACAGCAACTTGAATCGCTATAGGCATGGCATAAATTCACCATTACCTTGAAAGACAGTCACACAGTTCACGTTGCCGACATGTGTCATTTTTGGTCCGATTAGTGGCTCACTGAATCGCGAACTGGACCCTGAAAGATCGATTCGCATCAATTTAATGGTATAAATATCCAAAAAGAGCGACTAAACTAGTCACTTGTATGCGTGGAGTCTGGTTTGTTCTATCAACAGTTCTGCTGACGTCATTCAAACATTGTTTGCTTTGGTCTCAGAACGTCTAAATAAGGAAAGTGGTTCCATTGACTGTGGACCATTCTGAATGTTACAGAATTGAGTAGGGGCATTTGACTAGATTTTCGGGTGAAAAAGCGATGTGAGCGATGATGCAGATGAGATCGTCCCTGCCTCTTCCAAGTTCCGGAGGTGAACGGCCACTATCTGTACCTTCCTATGGACCTGCGGAAGTTGAGGTGTGCATTTCTGCAAACAGGCCACTGCATGATGCAATGTCCAAAAGAAGCTGCGCAAAACGTGTGCGATATATATACTAGGGCGCATCGCGTTGGATGCGCCTCCCCAAAATTTCCATACACACAGTCTATCAGTGCCTGGTGGAGCAAACAATCAAGCGATTAATGCGCAAATGCTTGCCTCTAGCCAGTCAGGGTCATTCGCTGCTTCCACGTTATCTGTTGCATCACAACACATTGGAGAATGTGCAATTGACTGCATGAAGTCATGAGTGTGTGAATTCTGTTCATGGGTCAAAATTGCGCGATTTTCCACCCATATCACAGAACATGTCTTTTCCACGGTCTTCGAAAATATACCTCCCCCCCCCCATAAATCCCACATCTTGTTGCCATGGAGGATTTGTGCTTTATATTTCCTTTTTTAAATTTTCACCCGAGTGAGTAGTTTTAAAGTATTGTGCTCTAAAACTGCTGATCCAATCATTGAAATGTCAATTTGTATTTCTTTGTGTTTTAGAAAGGGCAGTCAAGAACAGTATCTCAACTAGAGGACGCCTTGAGGGAATGGCTCAGAAAAAATAGGTAAAATCTGGAGGTTTAATTCATGCTGAGAGTTTTACTCTTTCCCAATTAAGTTACGATGTAATGCAATGTATTCTTCACACATGTACGTACAAGTAATTTGCACTGTGGATGCATGTTCGAGACCTGCATGGATTTGGCCGTGCGTTTACTTTGAAGCGGAATGGTTGCTCACAGGT